TCACCGAAGAGGAGAGGAGGTGGCTGAACGGCGATGAAGGCGGCACCTCTGCAGGTACGAGGGCTCGGCTGTCACGCTTCCTGCCTGAATCTGAGCTTTACAGAAACGTCTCTGAAGCGATGGCGTTACTCTCCACCAGACTCCATTTAAAAAAAGCAGAATTTAGCCTCATAGAAGACGGCAGCTGTTCTCCTGCTGCTCAGCTGACTTTGTCTTATTGTGCAACTTCACATTCACGGTTTAACATCCAGACGTCACAGGAAGCGAGCAGAAAGTTAATGTTTTGAGGTAAAAATCGACGTTTTTTCACTGGAGTCTGGTGGAAGTTGGCGGGTGTTTCTGTGAACAGAAACCTGTTTATGAGGAAACTCATCAGCTCGAGTCGTCAGACAAACTCTCAGTGATGTTTCTGTTGTTTCTCCTGCAGCTGCAGTGGAGCAGATCATCATCAGCGACGATGATGAAGCCACCGTGCGTTCACTACAGATGGATGAAGACGAGGCGCTGGCCCGCAGCCTGCAGGTAGAAGCTGACCCGGACAAAAACGCCTCACCTGAGAGCGGACAGGTGTTCACGTTTCCTTTTCGTCCTTCAGGCTCAGTTTGACCGAGAGGAGTCGGATCTTCATGGCAGGCACCAGCATCATCACCACCATCACCTTCATCAAGAGAGCCACCACAGGGTGAGACACTCGAGTGAAGGAGGTGTGCAGGTACAGCGTTTGTTTGTGGACTCAGGTGTGACCTTCTCTCTGCAGTTTTATCCCTACGTGGAGCCTCGCTGGATGTCTCAGGTGCTCGCGGCCGTCTCTCCTCTTGTGGGGCTGCAAGAAGGTAAGAAACGAACCTCAGCGGAAACACATCGGCGATGATGTCACTGGCGTTTAGATTAATCGAGTGTTCGCAGGTAAACGAGCCTGCTCACACCTGATTGGTCAGTAGGAGGGAGACTGAACATGTGATCTGTGACCACCTGATTCTCCAGCTGTGTTTAGAGTTTCAATCAGTTTGCTTCTTCTGATGCAGCTGATGTGTTTCCGCAGACCTGATTGGTCAGCGTAGAAGACGTGGGCAGGGCAGGAGGAGGAACGGCATGCCCGACTTTTCAGACGACCTTCAGGGAAACGACTACGAGGTGAGGAGGACTGATGGAGGCCTCACATTTGTTTGAACTGAAGTGTGCTGCGACCTAAACTAGGTCAGCTCCGCCCACCGGTTACCTGGAAGTTTTGCTTTTTACAGCAGAAACAAATCAAAGCTCTGCGTTGGTGTTAGAGGTGTGGCAATCATAACCACTGCTGAGCATCGTCAGCACCTGGGAGCGGTTTAGCAAGAACTCATGGGACACGGAGTCCTGAAAGGTGATTGGTCGACCAGAGTCAGCTGAACTTTGTTTGTTTGTGGCTCAGCTGCAGAAA